CATCCCAACAGATCCCTACTCTATCTTCTTCCTGACTGTGTGCCAGGCCCCAGTTGCAAAGGTCAAGTCAGAGGGCTGGTGTGCCACCCAGAGAGCCAGACCTCTGTTGTTCTGGTCACAGATGAACTCTCTCTTTATCTTAGTCTCCTGGGAAAGAAAGCAGGAGAGAATCTTCTACAATGCCCTACCCTAGGGGCTAAGTTGGGGGTCTTATTACCGAAAGCCAAATAGAGAAAACAAACTGGAAGGGGTGGGGGCTCTCCACTGCTCAGCCAGAACCTCCACCACACCCATAGGTACCATCTCAGCCTGCAGCACACACCTGCAGACGTTCTGTTCCAAGCAGGGATCTGTGGTCCAGGGCAAAGTGCTCAAGAGTTTCCCATATCTCCTCCCAAGGCCTATTCCTTCATATGACTCCTTACCATCCTTACCTTCCTTTAGTATGCCAGTGTCGTTCACTGAGCAAATATTTGTTGAGTATCTACTGTGTGCCAGGCCTTGCAGGGGACAGAGTCCTCCCAGTGCAGGCTGACCAGTATGACACTAGGACATACATTGCGAAAGAGCAACGTGTTGGCCCAAATGAGTTGCTAATTGTTCTGAGCAAAATTCACTCCTGCAATTGGCTGCCAGTACTCCCAGATATATCAGGGGATCCCAGACCAGCACCTGGAGAGGTTGATGAGAATAATGGTCTGTGTTGGTGGGCCCTTTATCCCCTCCACAACTGGTTCATTTAATGGGCACTCAGTGCCACTAACCCTGACTGGCTGGACTCTCAGAGTCTTACACTGGTGATCACAGCTTGTTGGTTTTTCTCCATAAGCCTCTGACCAAAAAGACATCCTTCCTTTCCAAAATACTACTAGTTTAAACCAAATATCTTACAATGAAATTGAGTAGACACACTAGTGAATATATTAGAAATGGAACATTCCTGCTTGGTGAGATGCTGTCATACATCCACCCCCTACTCCAATGCCCTGAAATCCTCGAGCCAGGAAACTTTGAAGTCAGATAGAGATACCGAGGCTGGACATATACAAAGGCTATGGGAGTCAGCAGCCCTGCTACTGGCCACCACAAAGAACTAGAAGCCAGGCCTCTTAATTCAATCCTGCCAACCAAATACTAATGCTGTAGATTGCAGGGCAAGTCACTTAGCAGTTCTAAACTGCAGTTTTCTCATAGGCAAAATAACAACAGTAGTACCTGGCCTGCCAGCCTTACAAAGACATAGTAATTTATCAAAGTGCTTTGGCAATAAAAACTGGCTGCCATCAAGTCAATTCCAGCTCATAACAACCCCAGAGGACAAAGTGGAACTGCCCCATAGGGTTTCCAAGCCTATAAATCTTTACAGAAGCAGTCTTGCCTCATCTTTCTCCTGCAGAGTGGCTGGTGGGTTCAAACAACTGGCCTTTTGGCTAACAGCCACATGCTTAAACCATTGCACCTCAGAGCTCCTTTTTTGGCACTAAAGAACTATGCATATGTAGGCTATTTAATTTAGCCTTAATAGTCATTTCCGTAATAAACCAAAGAGAAGGGTAAAACGGGCAAGCTGCTTAGAGTCAACTGATAAGCCTTCCCCATATGCTGGTTGGTACTAGCTCTAGCCAAAAAAAGGAAGGAAGCTCTCATGGTCTGAGACACCTGTGAGCTGTCCCAAACTGAAGGCAGCAAGCTGGGATGGCCCAGGTAGGCTGTTCACTGAGCCAGCTTCCCACCCTGCATGATCCCACAGATCTTTGGGGCTGGTTCAGTGCTGGGAAAGATGTCCTACCTCTTAGTATCTACAAGTCAGAGGCAAATAGAAATGGGGAATTTCTACCTGCTCCCACTTCTGCTGCCAGAAGCTGAGGTCTTGGTTTAATATATCAAAATGGAGAGCTGACAATGGAAGTGTGTTTGTGGGAATAAGAAAGAAATACCAGGAATTAGGATTCCAGGACAAAGAATAGCTACGTTTACTGAGTGCTAGATACCCTTTTAAGAAGCCCTGGTGGCTTAGTGGTTAAGCACTTGGCTGCTAATCAAAGGTTGGCAGTTTGAGCCCACCCAGTGGCTCCGTGGGAGAAAAATCTGACATCTGCTAAGCCAGGAAATCCTATGGTGCAGTTTCACTTTGTCACATGGGGTTGCTATGAATCAGAATCAACTCAATGACACCCAACAGCAGCAGGTACCTTTCTAACAGTTTTACATATATGTTGTATTAGTTTCTTGCTGCTGTAACAAATTAACACAAACTTGTATGCTTAAAGGAGCTCTGGTAGCATAGTGCCTAAGACATCTGATTGCTAATCAGGTTGGTGGATCAAACCCATCAGCCACTTTGCAGAAGGAAAACTGGGCAATCTTCTGTAAAGATTTACCGCCAGTGGGTGTCACTATGAGTAGGAATCAACTCGATGGCAGTGGGTTTGGTTTGGTGTGCTTAAAACAACACAAGTTTATTATTTTATAATTCTGGAGGTCAAAAATCCAAAATGGGTCTCACAAGGCTGCAAGTCAAGGTGTCGGCACAGCTGTGTTCCTTCTAGCTCTAGGCTTCCATTTCCTTTCCTTTTCCAGTTTCTGGAGGCCACCCACATTCTTTGGCTCATGGACCCCCTGACTTCTGCTTCTATGGTAGCCCACTTGGATAATCCAGGATAATCCCTCTATCTCAAACTCCTTAATTTAATTGCATCTGCAAAATCCTTTTTGCCATGTAAAGTAACATATGCCCAGCTACCAGGGATTAGAATGTGGATGTCTTTAGGGGAGAGGAACATTATTCTGCCCACCACACATGTAATCCCTAGCTCTAGCAGATGGCATATTTTATCATTATTCTCATTTAACAGATAAAAAACTGAAGCATTTCCAATCAGTTGATGTGGTTGTCTACAAAGGTAGAATCCTAGGCTCCAGGCTCTAGCATTTATGACTGGAGAAGAAATGTTTGTTACTAACAACCCCCACCTGCACCCCCTGCTCAGGGGCTTCGGATGCAGGTTACCTAGGAGTCCGTGAACTCCCAGTTGAAAAAAAAAAACCGGCATGGTAAGATTATGCAACTCGGCCAAGGTCAAACAGCTAATAAGTGGCAGAGCTGAGGCTCAAATCTGAAGTCGTCTAGCTCAAAAGCCACCCCCTCTGAGATGAAAGGCAAGAGACTGGCTGGAACGGGAGAGGCTTGGAGGCTAGCCACTCCTGGACCCAGCAGCCTGGTTTAAAGTGTTAGGGAGTTTCCTGAGTGGATGATACAGGGCACATTTCTGCCCTGAGTCCTAAATCCAGAGACCTGGATTCTAGGTCCAGCCCTGCCCCTAACTCCCTAAGAGATGCTGGGCAAATTCCTTCCACTCCCATCAATTTCCTCCCAGCTTGGATATTCACGGGTTCTGTGATTCAGATCCTGTCAGTGACCTGTTGTTGGAGGTCCTGGACCTCCTGACAAAAGCCTTACACAGCAGCACTGCCAACATCAACACACACATAGCACTTTACATTCATAGGGTCTCACTTGGTCCTCCAACAATTCTGCAAACTGAACATTCTCGTCCCCATTCCACAGTTAGGAAACTCAGGCTCAGAGATATTACATAACTGGCTCAACATCCTCCAGCAAGTTGGAGGCAAAATGAGAAACGAAGGTCTCCTGCCATCTCCCAGTCTAGGAGTGTTTTCCCTCCACACCAGTGTTTCCTAAGGGCTGTTAACCATTCTTACTTGTCTGTGATCGAATACAAATATGAATAGTGCAAAGAGTTTTCCATTAAGATACATGTTTTCAATGTAAAATTAGCGTCCTTTATGCTGAGATTATACCATTTTTTGATGTTAAAAAGTCTTGTCCTTTTTGAAATGATGATCATGGTAGATGGTAGAGGATTGTTGAGGGGTGCAAACATTTAACACACTAAGCGGCTAACCAAAAGTTAGGAGGTTCTTGTCCACACAGAAAAATCATATGGAACACAGCTCTACTCTAATGCATATGGGGTCCCCATGAATTGGAATCAACTCAGTGGCAACTGGTTAATATTTTTACATGACAAGTGGAAAATTGGCAACTTTGTGTTGTTCTGTAGAACTTGTTTTGAAATGTTAGAGATCTTGAAATCTCGAAGTCTGTAATCCACTGAGCCACACATACTCTCCCCAAGCAACTTGCTATTCCCCCATGGTCCCTTAGGTTTATGGTTTGGGACATCTGTGGATGGGCTGGAGAGAGGTGTGTAGGGATCTGTTGGGACTAAGCATGAAGCAGAGTATTTGTGGGAGGATATTTGGGCCTTTGCAGGGGAGGGCAGAAAGGGGCAAGGACTGGTGTGAAATCATCTCCCTGGAATGTAAGGGGAGAAAATCTCATGACTGAAGAGTCCCAGCCTTCCCCCTCTCCTCCTGTGATAACACAATGGACAATTACATATGCATGCTTGTGTACACACGTGTGCACACACACACACTCATGAGCGGAGGGAATGGATGCAACTGACCCTGACCCTGGAGACCCACAAATCTTCAACCGCCTGCCCCCTCCTGAACCCTTGATCCCTGGCTCTGCAGCCCCTGCAGATTCCTGTTTGCCCACTCTATTTGTCAGGCCCCAGGCATAGTGCTGATCCTTGAACTCTAGGTTCCACATCGCCAGCACTAGTGAGCAGCAACAAGGCTCAGGTTGAGCTTATCAGCCTCTCAGCCCTGCCCCTGGCTGGAGACATAAATAGGTCCAGGGGAGCACTGGCCACTCAGAGCTCAGAGACTGCTGAGAGCTTGAGGTAAGTGCTGCTGCCTACTCCAAACTCCCCAGTTCTAGGCATTGGAGGTTCAGGCTCTGGGATCCTGGTTCCAGACTCTGCCCTATGGAGAGCCCTGGATATTTGAGGCCTTCCCGCACTTTGTGGCCCTTTTTTTCCTCTGGCTGGAATGCTCCCCCATGCTAGAGGCCTGCCTCTACTCAGCCAGGCCCCTCTTCTTCTCCAGGTCACCCACATCCCTTCAAAATGAAAGCGGTGGTGCTGACCTTGGCAGTGCTCTTCCTGACTGGTAGGTGGCCCCCAACCTAGGGAGTCAACTATCAGGGGACCTTCTCCCTAACCCATGTGGTCCAACTTCCTGGGCACAGGGAGCAGGATTTCTCACCAGCTCCTGCACAGCCCACCCCCTTGCCCCGGTCTGGCCTTCCACAGAGAGATCTCAGATCTCATACCACAGGGAGGCCTGATCTGGTCTCCCCTCCCACCCCCAGGGAGCCAGGCACGGCATTTCTGGCAGCAAGATGAACCCCAGACATCTTGGAGTCGAGTGAAGGATTTGGTTACTGTCTACTTGGATGCACTCAAAGACAGCAGCAGGGACTATGTGTCCCAGTTTGAAGCCTCCGCCTTGGGAAAACAGCTCAAGTAAGAACACAACCAGGGGTCTGGGACAGAGGAAAAGCCCGCCGGTCCTGGGAGGTAGAGAGGCCCATAGAAAGATGTGGCCATATTGGCCAAATTCTCACCTGCTATTTGATGAGCTGGGCTCTGTTGAAGGCCTTGAGGGAGAAATAGGAGTGAGATCCCCAGGCGTGGCCATAGGCCCTCAGCAAGGGGTGGAACCCGTGCAGCCCAGGCAGTAATCACAGCACATTTGCCTGCGAGTGCACAAGCCCCTTCCCATTCAGCATCATCCCTCTCCTTGGGCCCAGCCATCCTTAGAGAGTGAAAGAGGTGTGAAGTATAGAAAGGGCCAGCTTTGGAGACAGGCAAGACTGAACACCAAGCCTAGCTCTGTTTCTTGCTAGTTGAATAATCTTATGGGAGTCACTATAGCTCTCTGCTCCTCAGTCCATCTGTACAATGGGATGTCAGGGGGGTGTGGTGAGGCAGTGCATGGGAAAAGCTAGGCTGGGAGTGTGGTTCACAGCTTATTGCCCAGGCCTCTCAACTGATAAACTAGGGTGCTGGACCTTCAGCTCTAGGTGGTCCAAGGTCCATAGGAGGCCATCCCTCAGCTGCTCTTTTCCCCTTCAGCCTGAAGATCCTGGACAACTGGGACACCTTGAGTAGCACCTTCACCAAGCTGCAGGAGCAGATGAGACCCATATTCCAGAAGTTATGGGAGGACCTGGATAAGGAGACTAGCCCCCTGAGGGAGGTGTTGAATAAGGACCTAGAGGAGTTGAAGCAGAAGGTGCAGCCCTACCTGGACCAATTCCAGAAGAAGTGGCAGGAGGAGGTGGAGCTCTTCCGCCAGAAGATGGCGCCGCTGGGCACGGAGTTACGCGAAGGCTCGCGCCAGAAGTTGCAGGAGCTGCAAGAGAAGCTGGGCCCGCTGGGCGAGGAGCTGCGCGACAGCTTGCGCTCTCACGTGGATGCGCTCCGCACGCAGCTGGCCCCTTACACCGAGGAGATGCGCCAGCGGCTGGCCAGCCGGCTTGAGGCTCTCAAGGAGAGCAACCTCGCCGAGTACCACACCAAGGCCAGCGAACACCTGAGCGCGCTTAGAGAAAATGCCAAGCCGGCGTTGGAGGACTTCCGCCAGGGACTCATGCCAGTGTTGGAGGGCTTCCAGAAAAGCGTCCTGGCCGCCCTAGACGAGGCCACCAAGAAGCTGAACAGCCAGTGAGGCACCCATTGCTGTAGGGCCGTCTGTCCATCCCCATGGTCGGAGGGCCGGAGGGCTGGGGACAGAGGCTGGCCCTCTCCTCGGGTCCTCCTTTCCATCGTTGGGTTTCTTAGAATAAATATTTCCAAATTGGGAAGCAGCTTCTTTCTTTGGGAGAATGGCGGTGGAGTACGGGGCACTGGGCAGCCGGGGGTAAGAGGAAGCTTAGGGAGTTCCCGTGTTGATTTTCCCGCAGGGAGTTTATCAAATCTAAGCCCAGATGGGGCTATTTCTGGGTCTTCACCAGTGTACCTGCTGGGCGGGGCGCGAGTTAGGAGTGAGGCAGTTGATGTCCCTTTTCCTAAGGAGGACATCTGAGAAGGACTAACACTTCCAAGTAGAATGAAATCCCAGACAATCAGGGCATAGCAATGCTGCCGTTGTTAGGTCCTGTCCAGTCAATTCGAACCCACAGCAACCCTGTGTGCAAACAGAAGGATGCTGGCCTGCACCGTCCTCACAATGCCTGCTGTGCTTGAGACCATCCTTGCAGCTACTGTGGCGATCCATCTCATTGAGGACTGACAGTGTACCCACGGAGATGTTCCAACAAACGGATGCAGCTCTTCTGTGCAAAGTGAATTTGCTCTGTAAACTTTCACCCGAATCACAATTAAAAAAAAAAAAAAAGAAAAAGAAAAACCACGGATGCAGTTCTGGAAGAGCTTACTGGTCTATGCGGGAAATCTGGGCAAAAGCAATGCTAAGTGCCCCATTGTTTCTTCAAACTGAGGTCAGGGAAGAGGACTGATTTTGCTGGGAGAAGTGGGTTTCCAGTCCCCAGTGGTTTTCAGGTGAGAGGTCCCAAGTACACGTTCACACGTGCAAGTGACAGAAGCCTCTTCCAGCCCTCTGGCTCTAAGGGGGTTGGGGTGGCCTCAACAAGCCATTGGGGATTTCAAGGATTTGGGCAGGTTCAAATGAAGAGCTTGAAGCTCGCTCCTTCCTCCTTTGTTAACTCAGCAAACGCTTAAACAAGTTCTTCCCTTTTCTTTCTTTTTCACAAAGGCAGTGTCTCACTCGTCACACTCCTGCCTGCCCAGAAACAGTTTCCTCAGCACAGGTGTGGAAGCCAGCCATCACTGCCCCTCCCCCACACCCCCATCAGACTCCAAGCCCTGCCCTCCCCCAGTTTCTGTCAGCTCTAGTCTGAATCAGGAGAATAATCACCATTTCTTGCAGGTAATTAGCACATTTTTATTTCTAAGATGCTTTCATATCTATTGCATCATGGCATCCTCCCCCAAATCCTAGGGTAGGTTGCCATTAAACCCATTTAACGAATGAGGAAGGTGATGCTTGGCGATGTGTAGTCACTCATAAGGATGAAGAGCAGGATGGACCAGGTCACTCTTTTAGGCCCATCTGCCCTGGGCTTCCATAATTATTTTCTTAAAAAGAAAAGTGTGTGGCTGGGCACTCAAGTTTGTATGGGTATGCACACACATATACACATTCTCACATGCACATTTCTCCTCACACTCATGTACATACTCCCATGTGCATGCACACGATGTCAGAGATCTAGGTTTTCATGGAGCCTTCACTACTCTCTCCACAGGGCCTCCTTGAGCAGACTGCTGGGTAATCTGCCTCTCTTTGATCGTCAGTGTATCTTAATAACCTCCTAGATAAAGGAGTGGGCTTTTTAGTTTGCAACCATCCAGAACTATAATAGATGTCAAAACCAGACTTGAGAGGGAACATTTTCCAAGGGTGGGGTGCGGAGATCCCAGGTTCCAGTTGGGCTAGAAGAGAAGGCCAGGTGGATTTCTGAAGAGAGAGGAGACATCTCTGAGTGGGGCATGGGTGGGGCTGGATGTTCTGATGCCACCAGGATCTGTAAAGGAGTCCCCAACTCCTGGCACAGCAGTAGCAAAGGTTTTTTTCTGAGCTAGCAGAGCAGAATAATGGATAGCTGACCTGGCCTTCAGGTCTGGCCCTGCCACCAGCTGGCTCTGTGATACTGAGCAAGTGCCTTCACCTCTCTGGACCTCAGTTTTGTCATCTGAAAAGTTGAGAGTCTGCTTAAATAGTCACTCTCTATCTGAATATCTGTTGGATGGTGGGGACACAAGGGAAATAGTTTCTATTGGGATGACCTTGAGTTACTTCTTTGTTTCCAGGCCACCATACACCATACACACTCCAATCATGGTCCCAAGGGGACAATCAGCTCAGCCAATAACAACAATGACAACCACTTATTAGGCACCTTTGATGTGCCAGGTGCTGGGCCGAACACTTCTAAACACCTCTGTGTTTCATTTTCACAACAAACCTACATTAGAGGATATTACTTTGATTGCTAACCAGAAGGCTGGCAGTTCAAACCTACCAGACACTCCTCAGAAGGAAGATGGGGCAATCTATGTCCGTAGTGATACTGTCTCGGAAACCCAAGGAGGGGTTGCTATGAGTCAGATCCAACTCGATGGCACATAACAAACAACAGTAACACTGCTTCAGAAACCCAAGGAAGGGTTACTAGGAATAGGATCTGACTCCATGACAGTGAGTTTGGTTTTTTTTTTTTTTTTTTAATTTTTTTTTTTTTTTTTTTTTTTTTTTTTTTTTTTTTTTTTTTTTTTTTTAATTTATAGAAAAGAAACTGAAGCTGGCATTCAGTGGTGGAGTCCAGCCTAGAGTGTCACAGTATCTTACTCCAACCACTATCCTATCCTGCCTCAAGTGTGGGCAAGAGAAGCAGGTGGTCCAGATGATGACATCGGCTCTCTGGTTGCAGTAAAGGCATATAATCCCAACTCTAATGAGGAAATCCCAGGGCCAGACACCGGCCTGGATAGATCACACATTCAAGTCTTGTTGTACCCCACTTGACAAGTCATCAAAGTAATTTCAAATCTGTTACTCCATTTGATCCTCCACACAAACCTGTCAAGGCAAGCAGGATAGATAGGGCTAGTCTCACAGATGAAGAAACTCGGGTCCAAAGACCACCCAACTACTAGAGGTGGGGTGGGCACTGGACCCCGGGCCAAACTAATGAGTCCAGTGCCCACCCACAGAACAGCCTGACACACTCCCATGCCCAAGCATACATGGCACACGTGGGATGTCCAATTCATGGCAGCTTCGTGTCCAGCTTTATTGTGAGGGCAGCATGCCTGGGGTAGGCCAGATCTGGGGTGGGTTGGGAGGGGCACTGAGAATGCTGTCCCTTTCAAGCGAGGCAGCCCTGGAGGCTGGAGGACCCAGGGAGCCAGCAGGATGGATGAGCAGGCAGACTTGGGGTGTCGAGTTCTCAGAAGTCTTCAGGAGTCTGAGTTGGTTTGGCCTCAGGAGTCAGATCCCAGAGGCTGGAGAACTTGCCTTTAAACGTGCTCCAATAGTCTTTCAGGGAGCTGAAGCCATCAGTCACCCAGCCCCTGGGGGTTAAATCAGTGGGTGAAAGCAATAGAGGTGCGTGTGAGAGCACATAGGCAGAGGCAACAATGGGGCCCCAACCTGTACCCACTGCCTCTCTCTGCTGCCCTGTCAGCATGGCAACCCCCCTGAGACCTCAGGCAGGAACCACCTATCACAGGTGCCAAGGGTAGTTATGGGACCAAGGCTGCAGAATCCCAGCACAACTCTAGCACCCCACGTTTCTTCAGGTTGAGTCATACTGTTATTCCCTCACAGCCTGAGGCAAGCTGGAGTGGAGTGACTTGAGTGGGGAGATGTAAGGGCAGGCTGTTGTATTGCATGGTGTATTCTATGTAGTGGTGCCCCCTGGAGTTGTACCCCCTCCCCCTGGAGCTCTTAGAAGGGTGGGCCAGTGGGAGGTAGTCTCTCATTGGGAAAATCACTAGATGATTGCTTAGCTGTGTGATCTGGGGCAGGTCACTTAACATTTCTGAACCTCAATTTTCTCATCTGCAAAATAGGGAAAATAGTACCTACTCCACAGCTTTTTCTGAGGATTAAGAATGTTTATGAACTTACCTGTTCCATAGGTGCCTGCTGAGTGGAGGTGGGGAAGGGAGCAGAGAGGAGAGGGCAGGGCCAAGGGTGGGGGACAGGCTTTGACTTACGCTGGCCCTAGGGCTGGACTAGTCCCCATCGAGCTGCCTCTGACTCATGGTGACCCATGTGTGTCAGAGTAGAGTGATGTTCCACAGGGTTTTAGATGGCTGAATTTTGGAAGTAGATTGCCAGGCCTTTCTTCCAAGGCAGGAAGGGGAATTCCATCTTTTTGTTTGGCAGCCAAGCATGTTAACCAAGGTATTTGACTGCTAACCAGAAAGGCTGGTGGTTCAAACTCACCAGCCACTCCTCAGAATGAAGGTTGGGCAATCTACTTCTGTAGTGATACTGCCTCAGAAACCCCAGGCAGGGTCGCTATGAGTTGGATCAGACTCCATAGCAGTGAGTTTTGTTTTTTTTAGGGATTCCCTAGGCTGGGGGGGGGGGTGGATCTCACTGCTGTGGAGTTGATTCGGACTCATAGCAACCCCTCCTTGGGTTTCTGAGGCAGTATCTCTACCGGAAGTAGATTGCCCAACTTTCCTTCCAAGGAGTGGCAGGTGGGTTTGAACTGCCAGACTTCTGGTTAGCAGTCAAATGCCTTAAGCACTACGCCACCAGAGCTCCCATGGAGAAAAAGACCCCCTGTGCTGAAATTGGATTGGATGGGGCCTCCCAAGCAAAACATCTGGCCAGTCTATCAAAAAAGGAAAGTGGAGGTGAGGGCAAAAATGGCCTACCTTAGGGCAGTGACACTTGAAGGGGCAAGAAAAGAGAATGTAGGGAGAAGAGACCAGGCAGAGACAGGAGGGATGGAGAGTTCCCACCTGAGTCATCTATCCCACTGTACCTGACAAAGCACTGTAAGTAGGACCCCCATTTTATAGAAGAAATCACTGAGGCTCAGAGAGCCACAGGCCCCAGCTAGTGTGGGAGAGCCATGACTCAATATCAGGGCTCTACTCCATGTCTGGGGCTGGTGTCGCCTGGGCAGGTGGGAGCTGGGATGAAGGCTGGGCAAGGGAGGGCTGGTGGGCGTACTTTGCCTGCTGGGCCATCTGGGACTCCTGCATGCTGGTCAGCGCATCCTGGGCTGTCTTGGCGGCATGGTGCATGTAGCCCTGCATGACACCCAGAAGGGAGCTATCCTTGGGCTTGGGTTCGGGCTCAGGCTCAGGCTCAGGCTCGACAGCCCCTGTGGGGAGAGCAGGGACTGAGCTGCACGGACAGACCTCAGGGGCCTCAACTTCTGCCAGCCACCCATCAGGGCCCAGGGTCCCCAAGCCACCCCCTGAGGGTTCTCCAGGCAGCTGGCTGCCCCTACCCCATCCCCAGCCCTGTCCCCACTAAGTGCTTACAGATGGTGGCCAGGAGCGCCAGGAGGGCAGCAATGAGGAGGATCCTGGGCTGCATGGCACCTCTGTTCCTGCAGGAAGTGTCCTGTGTGAGGGACACCCAAGCCCTCCTACCCCTACCACTGGGCACCTCCCCAGGGAAGTTATGTGGCCCCTACAGTGTGACCTGAGCTGGGACAAGCCTGGAGGAGAGGGTCCTGCTCCCACACAGGCCAAGGCACAGAAGGAGGGAGGGGTGGGATGGAGCAGAGTAGGAATCAAGACACCTGGGTTCTGGTCTGGGCTCTGCCACTAATGTGCTGTGTGACTTTGGGTAGATGTCTGAGGCTTCTTCCAGCAAAAAAACATGCCGAAGGAGGGGAAAGTGGGCAGATTTGGAGCAGATGGCTCTGGGTTCTGGTTCAGCTCTGCCACTACTATGCTGTGTGGCTTTGGGCAGGTGGTCCCCCTCCCTGGGCTCCAGGTACCTCAGGGGTCACTCATCAATCCCTAATGTCTTTTTGGCTCAAGTAAACTTCTCTTTAGGCTTTTCCTCTAGGCCTGGTAAGGACCTTCCTCGGCCCCTCCCATCTTGCTCTCCTCCCCATCCTTGTGCCCTCCCCCTCCCCAGGGCATATTACCTGGAGCAGCTGCTTCTTGGGATGAACTGAGCAGACAGACAAGAGGGTTCTGACCTGTCTTATATTGTCCCCAGGGCATGGGCACTGAGAGCCCAGTGAGCCGGGCAAAGGTCACCTGCTGACCAGGCCAGACCAGGGCTTAAGGCAGAGTGACCAGATATAGCCAGGCCTGCTGGGAGAGTTGGGAAATCTATCGGAAGCTGTAGGTGCCCACATTGTTCAGGAACAGGGGGTGAGGGCATCTGGGGACACCTCATTCCTTCCTAGCAGACTGGATTCCCAGGGAGAGGCTGGTGTGATAGGAGAGGGGCATAGAGACAAGCCAGGGACCTCTGGGCACATCTCAGCCTTTCATACTTGAGTTTCCAGGTTCCTCCATCCCCCTCTCTTCCACTCCCTCCCCTTCTTTGTATACCACTAAGCCCTGAAATAGGAGCTCTGGTAGCATAGTGCCTAAGGCACTTGACTGCTAACCAGAAGGCTAGCGGTTCAAACCCACTGGCCACTCCTCGGAAGGAAGATGGGGCAATCTACTTCCGTAGTGATATTGCCTTGGCAACCCAAGGAGGGGTCGCTATGAGTCGGGTCCAACTCAATGGCACATAACAACAACAACAAGCCCTGAAATCAGCCTGGTTGGGGGTAAAGGGGGATGGAGTCAGGGGCTTCTTCAGACTAGAGAGCAATGGATCTCCTTCCTTCTCAGTGGGTTTGGGCTGGGGTGGGGGGATGTCTAGAAAGTGAAGTCATGTATGGAGATGATGTGACCCAGTTGAGCACACAGCCCCTTCTCTAGCATTTCCATCTCTGGGCTTCAATCCCAGGTGCTGCTCACCCAGAAGCCTCCCTCAGCTAAGCCCAAGGACAGGAATTATTAGGAGAAGGACAAAGGCCACTGGGAGCCCAAGGTCTTTGTCCCTCCCCTCTCCCCTCCTCCTCACCTTGCCCTCTGGACCCACTGATAACAACATTCCCTGGAGCAGGAGCTGGACTCATGACTGGGACTTCCCCCACAAGTGTGGCAGCTGGGACTGGTTCCCAGAGCTGACTGACTCTCGACCTGAGGCCTCAGTTTTTGCAGCTCAGAAATAGCAGCCCTCATAGCCCCCTGGCCAATTGGCAGGTGAAAAGAACAGAGATGGTGAGGTGGATGGGCTGGTGGGGAGAGGGCAGAGAGGAGCTCACAGGGCCAGTCGGCTGTCTAGGGGAGGCCTCAGGCTCTTCTTGGGTGTCTCCTGGGCCTACACTGGGAGCTGTAGCTCCATAGCAGGATCAAGGGCGTTATTTTCTGGATGCTAGGACTTTGGAGCCAAGAGTCCAAAGTTTTGATGATGCCTTTGGCACTTATTCATGTAACCCTGGACCAGAGACCTAATGTCATAGAGCCTCAATGTTCTCCTCTGTGAAATGGGGATAGAATAACAATCTCTCAGTGTTGTGGTAAAAAGTGAGTGAAATAAAATGCAAAGCAGCTGGTTTATGAAGGGGACTCAATAAATCTCTCTCCTCTTCTCCACCACCATGCCTTTCCCTAGACAGTGGAGTCTGAAAGTAGGAGGAGCTTTGGACAGGTGGCCATTTCTCAGGAAGAAATAACTATTACTCTACAGTTTAAAATCAAAGGTCTGAGAAAGTGTCCTGGGCATGCCGTCAGAATTCTTTATCCATAGCTGAGACTGGAAATTCCTCTCCGTGCTGGGAGAATTGGGAAATCTCTAGGAAGTGGTAGGTGCCCACACTGTTCTCCTGCCACTTTGCATCTGGGTGGGCTCAGGAACAGGGGGGTGATGGAGCCTCGGGAGACCCCATTCCTTCCTAGCAGACTGGCTTCCCAGGGAGAGGCTGGTGTGATAGGAGAGGGCCTTAGTGACAAGCCAGGGGCCTCTGGGCACATCTCAGCCATTCATACTCGAGTTTCCAGGTCCCTCCATCCCTCCCTCCCCTGGCTGCCTCTATACCACCAAGCCCTGAAATCAGCCTGGCTACTTCATTCCTTTGGCTTAATCCTTTTCTATTAAAATGTAAATGGCCAGGATCCTGTGAAGTACACATTATTAAAAGCATTTTATAGGTGCAAAAACTAAGGCTCAGAGGGGAGAAGACCTCCCCAACTGCACACAATTAGAATCCAGAGTCCAGGTCTTTGGACACTCAGTCTGGTATCAAACAGCCTTGAGAAATGAGACCATTGAAGACTTATAAGTCACACTTCAGAGCAAATCAGTTTCAAATTTCTTTTTGAGAGCAGACTTTGGTGATGGGGTAGCATGAGAAGCTGCTCTGAGCCTGGCTCACAGACAGGCTCTAGGGATTAGCCAGGGATGGGTGGAGACAAAGAGAGGGCTTGTCCAGCTGGGACCAACAATGGTCTTCTGGGATTGGGCCAACTTTTGGCTTTGCTTGTACCCAGGCGAAGTTTAGTGAGCCCATCTGACCCGTGCTCCTGCTGCCAGGCTAGACCAGGTAGACCTGATTCAGCCCAAGGCTCTTGTTCACTTACATCTCTCTGTGCTGGAAGTTCCTCCTGGTGTCTCACCCAAATCCTTTCTATTACAACAGGAGCTTCCTCTCTTTAGTTCTGCCCTGAAGGAGGGCCAGTGTGGAGCATATGTGAGCATGTGTGTCAGTGTGACTTGCCTGTCCCTGCTGTGTCTGTCCTTGGCAGGCTTGAGCCATTCCCTCCTGATGCTGACCCCTGGGATGATCCTTGTGTGGGGAGACAGCGGTTGGCTGTACAGTAATGCTGAACTACCAGCCTCGTGTCACCTCACCGACCATTAGATCTGTCTGTTGTACAAACAAGGAAACTAAGGCTCAAAGAGGGGGAAGTGACTTGCCCAAGATCACAAAGACCTTTGTGCCCACCGATTGTGGATTTCCCAGTCCTGCAGGTGATGCTGGCACCCGCACCCAAAGGCAAAGCAGAGGCCTCACAGGAAAGTGTCTCATTCTCTCCCCTCCCCAACACAAACACATTCATAGATTGATACAAAATATACTCACAGACCCTTGGAAATAAATGTGTGCATTAATGGCACTGCATCTACGATGCAGTGTAGACTGCACACCCTCCCAGTGGTTGTGCATGCACACACAGGCCTTATGCCAACCCCTCATCTCTGGGCCTTAGTTCTGTGCCTACCAACAGTTAAAATATTTGCACACTTACGGGAATCTGTACACATCCTAGCAGATACCCTGGACATACTCCAATCAGTGCAGACACACCCAGGTGAGGAGTCAGGGCACCTTGAACCCACCAGATACTGTCAGCTCCTGCTGCTCAGCCTCTAAGTCCAAGAGGCCAGATTGCAGCTGAGGTGTCCTTCATGACTCATTCCCCTCCTCATCTCTGGTGCAGGAGGGCGGGGTGGGGAACTGAGCCCTGACTCTGCACACCCCACCCCGGGCTGGACTGTGTCTCATTCCAGAGCAGGACCAGGACCAGGACCAATGGGTCGATGTTCCCATTGGGAGGTAAACTTTTCAGAGATGAAGCATAGCCTAACATTTAAGGAGAACTTACTACGTGCCAGGTACTATTCCAAATACAGATTATCTCACTGAGCCTAGTTGTACCTTGTTGAGTCCATTGAGGCTTAGAGAGGTTAAGAGATTATCCAAAGCCACACAGATAGTAAATAGGGGAGCCCAGATACATACCCAGGAAGTCAGACCTCAGTCTCCAAACTCTTAACAGCTACTGAGAAATGGCACGGGCTGACCCTAGAAATGACCATGAGTAATCTGGGGACCACCTGATGGAGAACCTGCAGAAGGGGTGCAAATATCAGAAGGCCGTTTAGTGCTCTTCAGTCCCATGAGCCATCAGAAAACTAAAGTCATGATAAACTAGGGCTAGCAAAATTAGGGTCTATGGTGTTCATTTTACAAATAACTGGGAGCCCACCTACATGTTGGTCACTGTGCTCCCAGAGAGGGACCAACAGGGCATTATGATGAACATTACTTCATAGGTCACTAAAGGTAGTGTGGTCCAACAGAGGGATCCAAGTGGACCATGGCTCTCCATCTTGTTGGTGATTGTCATCTTCCTGTGATTGTGACTATAACCTCATTTGGAGATAATGCAAGAAGTCTAAACAAAAGAACTCCTAGGTACCACCATCACTGATCCCCTTTCCCCACGGTCAGGCCCCTGGACAGCCTCAGGTCCTGTGATTCTGCCCAAGCTGACCGTTCTTGCCCATGGAGTGTGGCTGGGGGTGGAGGAAGAAGGCGCCACCACTGCAGGGGGCCAGGAATAAGGCCTTAGGCTAGCCCTGCCCCTGCCACCCTGCCTCAAACCCATCTGGTGACCCCCAAGAGGGGTAAGTCTAACTTCTGCCACTCTCACTGGCAGTTTCAGCATTCCTCTTCCTGTTTTGGCCCAGATCAGAAAAACAATATTATTATTAACAATGATAACAACTATTTTTTAGAGCTCACTCTATGCCAAGCACGATACAACCCACTGCACAAACAATGTCTTATTTAATGTATCTAACAACCCCATTTTTCAGAAGAGAATTGAGGCTCTTTGCATTAAATGACTAGTCCAAGGTCTCACACCTTGGTAGTGGTGGGCATGGAGCACACTTACAATGAACCCCTTCAATTAAAGATCATTCTGAGCACACTTACAATGAACCCCTTCAATTAAAGATCATTCCCACCCTACCCACCTGCCCAAAGTCTCTCAAGGGGACTTGTGCCCTGGCAAGAAACCTGGATGTTAGCTCTCCTCACACTTGTGGCCCTGGATGGTCCCAGTCCAGCATGTAATGTTCTGAAGATAGAGTCAGGGTTGGTGGCTGTGGTAGTTAAGGTTATTTGCCAACTTGTCTGGGCCTGGTTGAGTGGCTGGGCAGCTGGACGTAGTTAACCCCCATGGTGAGACTGGGTGATTAACACCATGGTAGAATCTACTAGAGCAGCTGAGTAGCTGCTTTAGGGATGTGGGCTGCTTCCAGTATGTATAAGAAGCAACGTTGAGGAAGGTCTCCAGCCTGGCACACTTGAACCTTGCATGTACCTGAGTTGTTGTTCAGCAGCCTGCCATGTTGCCCTGCCAATCTTGTGACTTTCAATGGACTTGAATTAATGGCCTGCTGTGTGGTTTGGTACTATCGGGACTGTACCATTTTATTTGTTGACCTTGGGCTTGTCAGCCTCAGCAGCCAACAGCTGCCTGAGTGAAGAAAAGCCTCCAGCTTCAGTGGGCCAGGAACAAGAGGCAGAGCTAAAGCCCAAGGTTGAGGGGCTTTCACCCAGCCCCTAGAGCCTGGCACTTTGAACTCGGACTTCTAGCCTTCAAACCTGTAAGAGAATAAACTATCCCATTTGTGGTATAATTCCTGTCAGAGCGGCACTTGGTAACCAAAACAGTGGCAGATGTAAGGTGGGCTCTCTCTCTACTGGGCAGCAGGAGAGACATGGACTTTGTTCCCCAAGCTTGGCACAGATCCAGGGCTGCCAGCAGGACCCCTGGGGCTTCCCTGGCCCCTTGTTTCTTTCATAGTTCTTGCCTCCTCTCTTCCATACTGGGTGAGGCTCAAGCACAGAACAGCTTTTTCTGACTGCCTCCAAAGCCCCAGTCTGCTGTCAGCTTCCACGTTGTCTTAGGGTCACTAAAGTCCAAGAGGCCTCCTGAGAATGTGTCACCTTCCAGCGTGGAGTCATCCTGGGGAGGGAGGCAGGGAGGGCAGCCCAGCGGGAGTTTAAATGTCTGGCTGCCTCTGAGCTTTGGTCAGTTTGAACAGCAGCACAGGTGAGCTACTTGAGGACTTCTCCACTGGCTCCCTTGGATTGCAGGAAGGATCCAGTGCAGCACAGGCTAACTCCAGCACAGCAAAGTGCACAAGATGTTTCTGAAGGCTGTGGTCCTGGCCCTGCTGGTTGTCACCAGTGAGTAGAAGCTGTCCCTGGATGGGGTGGTCAGGCAGGAAGCAGCTGCTGCATTGAGTGGGACTGGGTGGAGTGACTGGGGCTAAAGGGAGAGAACACTCTGAGTGCGGATCAGCCCCCAGCTGGACACAAGGGGGCTGCCTAGTTGCCAAGTGGCTCACAGGAGAGCTGGCCCATATCCAAGCATAGGCCAACTGGTACTGGTACTAGACCAGTTTCACATGCCTCTGTGGCTTCCAACTGACAAAGCACAGAGAGGGGAATGGTGGGTTGGGTAGGTTGGGCTCCCCCAGCATCATCTGGTCTGCAGCTCAGGGCTTGTGCAGAAGGGCAAGGGAGGAGACAAAGCCTCATGAATTGCCTCTGTTCCCTGCCCAGGTACCCGGGCTGAGGTCAAGCCTGACCAGGTGGCCAATGTGGTGTGGGACTACTTCAACCAACTGAGCAACAATGCCAGGGAGGCTGTGGAACATCTCCAGAAGTCTGAGCTCACCCAGCAGCTCAAGTAAGATGAGGCACAGCCTGCACAGTGGGGCTTCCTACAGGCCTTGCCGTGTGTTGGGAAGGACTGAGCTGGCAGGCAGGAGACCTGAGGCACTAACTCACTGCATGACTTTGGGGGTCCCTGAGCCTAGGATCTTCATATGTAAACAGGGATATTTGAATGAATGATCCCTACTGTGCCTTCCTGCTTTAACTTTCTAGTTTGACAAAGGGCCACCTCCTAGCCTTGAGGCTCATGGAAGAAAGGGCAAGAGGGAACTGTAATGAGATCTGGGCTCTAATACATTCCAGAAGGCAGGCCCTAGTGGGATCATGGAAAGGGAGATAGGGGTATTTGGGGAGCCTCTGAGGGCAGGTGCATGCAAGGAAATCAGCACCTTGTCTCACTGGAAGACCCTGCCTGGATCACAACATTCTTTTATGGAATGTGAGTCTGTCAGTCACAGAGTGCCTGAGCTGGGAAGGATCTCAAAGTCCAATCCCTTTACTTTGCAGAAGGGGGAAGGGAAAGCAAACTGGTCAAGGTCATATGACAGGTAGAGACTGTGACTCTAACTTTGTGGGAGATCCAGAGAGAAAAAGTCAGTGTACTAACTGTAGTCTATCTTACCTGTCTCACAAATCATGAGGTACTAACCCATCCACCATGGGGAGGGTCACAAGGAAAAAGATCTTCTGGGCAGGTGTGTACCGGATGAGTGGTTTATAATGGGACAAGGGCCTGTCATGAGATGCTAAGTGTAATGGTAGCCCCCTTGTGCCCTTTCCTGGCAGTTCCCTCTTCCAGGACAAATTTGGGGACGTGAACACGTATGCCAGTGACCTGCAGAAGAAGTTGGTGCCCTTTGCTACCGAGCTGCATGAGCGCCTGACCAAGGATTCGGAGAAGCTGAAGGAGGAGATTCGGAAGGAGTTGGAGGAGCTGCGGGCCCGGTTGCTGCCCCATGCCAACGAAGTGAGCCAGAGGATCGGCGACAATGTGCGCGAGTTCCAGCAGCGCCTGGGGCCCTATGCGGAGGAGCTGCGTACCCAAGTCAACACTCAGGCGGAGCAATTGCGGAGCCAGCTGACTCCGTTAGCTCAGCGCATGGAGAAAGTGCTGCGTGAGAACGTGGACAACCTGCAGACCTCGCTGACCCCCTATGCCGACGAGCTCAAGGCTAAGATTGAGCAGAACGTGGAAGAGCTCAAGGGTCGCCTCACACCCTACTCCGAGGAGCTCAAGACCAAGATCGACCAGAACGTCGAGGAGCTGCGCCGAAGCCTGGCCCCCTACGCCCAGGACGTCCAGGAGAAACTCAACCACCAGCTCGAGGGACTGACATTCCAGATGAAGAAGAACGCCGAGGAGCTGAAGGCCAAGATCCAGGCCAAAGCCGACGAGCTGCAGCAGAGGCTGGTGCCTGTGGCCGAGGATGTGCGTAGCAAGCTGCGGGGAAACACCGAGGGACTACAGCAATCTCTGGCGGAGCTGAGCAGCCAACTGGACCGCCAGGTGGAGGAGTTCCGGCGCAACGTGGGGCCCTATGGCGAGACCTTCAACAAAGTTTTGGTGCAGCAGGTGGAGGAGCTGAGGCAGAAGCTGGGCCCCTACGCGGGGAACATGGAAGGCCACTTGAGCTTCCTGGAGAAGGACCTGAGGGACAAGGTCAACTCCTTCTTCAGCACCCTCAAGGAAAAAGAGAGCCAGGACCAGACTGTCCCCCAATCCCTCCCCCAGGTGGAGGAGGCTCCCAAGGCGCTAGAGGGCTGAGCTGCCCCTGGTGCATCCCTCTCGCTGCCCCTGCCACCTGCCCTGCCCTGCCACCTGTCTGTCTGTCTGTCCCAAAGCAGGCCTGGTATGAGCTTGAGAACACGTGTCCAGCAGAACATGAGAGTACCTCTCCTTATTCAATAAAGCTGCTGAGAAACTAACCCAGTCTGGTTGTCATGTGACTCCTTGTTGCTGGGCCTAAGGGGAGTGTGCGTGGGGAGGGCAAGACTGCTTGGTGAATCTTAGCAGGGGCCTAAAGATGGCATTTGGGGGACCACCGAGGGCAAGAGAGATGTGACTGCAGGAGAGTAAGAGCGTGGTGGACAAGGTTGTGTTATGAGTGCTCTAAGGAAAATCTGGAAGAAAATGTCACATGTTATCCAAAGTCTAAACATGCAACCCAGAGTCCCTGGGTGATGCCAATAGTTAATGTGCTAACTGAAAATCGGTGGTTTGAATCCACTCACAGGTGCCTTGGAAGAAAGGCCTGGTGATCTACTTCTGAAACATCAGTATTGAAAATCCTCTGGAGCACAGTTCTGCTCTGACACTCCCGGGGTTGCTATGAGTTGGAACTGACTGGAAGACAGCTAGTTTTCTTTATGTAACCTATTTATATTCATTTAGCCAACAAATATTTATGAGTGGCCACAATGTGCCAATCATTGTTCTAGGCACTGGACAATGCACAAAGCAGCTATGTGCCTGACACTGCCACAGCTGAGGAGGGACACTGAGGTAAGCAGGACATGGTCCCTGGGCTTAAAGAGTTTACTGCACAAAGATGTCCCTTCCTGTACATGAGCTTCTTCTATGCCTCTTCTTAACTGACTTATGTAAAGTACCCTCCATTATAAAAGTGACTCATTCTTATTTCCAAAATTTCTTGACTGCTAAACTGATGTGTGGTCTCCTTGGATGGGTCCTGGGGGCATGGTGGGGCAGGAACCTCCTGAGAAATGGCCTTCCTGCTCTGGGGATAAGGGTGCCAGCCACTGGGGTAAAGAGGGAGAGGGAAGTTGGGAGACCTTGAAGTGGTCTCATCAGCACAGCCACCAGTACACACCTGTAGTCCCAGAGACTCACCGATTCCCCCAAGGAGGGAGCCTCTGAGAAGAGTTCAAACCTTGATCCCAGATTACTGGACAGCCTGGCTGTTACTCCAAATCTGACGTGGCATGCCTCCCCTTCTTGGGGCATGATGCTGGCCTTTCACGGCTCTCCTGAAAGAGGCCCCTGGAGAATGCTGGAGTGTCATACCCCCTCGACTTCAAGGTGCTCACAGAGCAGTGTTCATCGCACATTCTTTTATTTATTTATTTATAATTGTGATTTGGGTGCAAAGTTACAAAGCAGATTCATTTTACTCTTAATATACACATTTGGTTTCACAGCACCCATTATGATCCCAATAAACAGCTCCTCTCCCATCTCCTCTCTACGACTACTTCTTCCCTGTGTCCTTCTTATCTATGCATTCCTGTTTGTCCAGCTTTCCCCCTATACAAATGCTACTCTTTTGATCTCTCATTATTGATTGATCTAAGGGGTGTATTTCCCTGGGGTAGGTGTTCTGCTAATAGGCCTTTCTGCTGTTTGGCGAGTTAATCCACGGAAGTGAGTCCAGTTGCAGGTCCAAGCATAATCCAGGGCCATAGTCTCGGTGTTTTATCAGTCTCCTTTTGACCAGTCATTCTGGTCATTTTTGTCTCACTGCACATTCTGACCAGTCCTGTCTGCTCTGCCCCTGGAGCCAGCCCAAGTGCGCTACCTGTTGGGAAGGACACATTGCAATCAGACACACCTGGATTTGAGCCCCGGTTTCCCACTGACTGCCAGGTGATCTGGGACAGATACTCTTTTGGAAAACAGGAATAATAACAATCCCCGTGAGTTGTGAGGGTTTGATGGAACAATACATGCTAAGCACTCAGCACAATACCAGACACACAGTCTCCTTGATAACCTCCATATCCTAGGAAACCTACCCTCAACTGCAAGTCACACTCTTTATAACATGAGGCACACCAAAGTCAGGCAAATGCAGACCCCTGGGTCTCCTGGCCCAAGCTGCTCTCACTCCAGGTCAATAGGGCTGCTGCCCACTCCATACCTGATATACTAGGAGGGCAGGAACCTACCTGTGAAATGCCTTGACAAACCCACCAGGCACTTGGAGGTTTACTGGTTGGCCTTGGAAAGGGCTAAACAGAGCAATGAGGCACTAAAAGGAAATGGGGGCAAAGCATGAGCAGATTTCTGAATGGGCCTGGAAGTTTCAGAGATGCTCTGATACCTCAGCTGAAGACCACCTGGTGGAGTGCTGCCCCTAGGACCTCTGGGAGCTTCCATCTATTCCAGAGCACAAATCCTAGGTAGGACTCCTGAGCCATCCCCATCCCACCCAGGGCTGTCCTAAGGTCTCTGAGGCTCCTACTGTGATCTCCCTGGGTGATAAGTGTCTCTCTTTCCTGCACCACGATTCCTCACCTGGACTTCACTTGTCTGACCTGGCAGATGTTTCCTGGTAGTGGTATCTTTTTTGGCTGCCCACCATCTCAGCTTCCCTTGCTTGTTTTAGGAATTTCTTACTTAGGAGTCTTGATGTGAGTCAGAAGCTTCTTCGCATTATAGATGCTAAAAATGCTTGCCTCTTGCCTTCCAGCCTCCCTTTCCTCTAGAGTGTGCCGTAGGCCAAGTCACACGCACTTGCTTGACTCCAAATAAAGAACCAGAGTAAAGAAACAGGACAGTGGAGAATCTTTTTTAAGGTGGGCAGGAGTCGTGGGGCAGCTGCAGCCCCCAGTGGCTGAATCCGATGTCTAGTGCTGGCAGTGGCAGCTGGGTAAGCTGTGCTGTCTTGTCCCAACAGTGGCACCAGCCTGTTCTACTCCAGCTTTCTCGAAAATTTCCTAGAAATTCCTAGAAATACTATTGTAATAAATCAATTTTCTGCTTACACCATCCAGAGTAGGTTGCTATAGCTAGCAATTAAGAACCTTGATTGACAGGCACCTTGTTTGTTGTGGAGGTTTCTCTTGCTTTGGCCCTGGGAAGCTGAACTTCATCACCCACCTGTTTCTGGATGGTCCTGTTTGTCTGTCTGAGGTACAGCTATTAGTCCTCACTATGGTTGGTTCCATCTTTCAAAGAAGGCAGTCCTACTTTTGTTCTAAGCTAGTGTGTGGACTTAGTCTCCTGGGACTCAGTAAGGGCTGCCATATTGGCTGGCACTCTTCCAGGAAGGCATCAGCCACCATGCAGCCTCCTATTTCCAACCAAAGGGATGTCTCTAGCAGCTAAGATGACTGGACAACTAGGCACGTCAACACTGTTCCCAACTTGGACAACCAGCTCCATCTATCCTTCTCAGAGGTTCTCTCACAACTGGTCTTGGATGTCTCATAAGATCCTGAGTTCAAGAGATGCTCTGTTTTGATTTGAGGAATGTATTTATTTATGAAAATATGTCCAAGATATTCTGTTAGCAGAGGCCTGGCAGAGGGTATTTTGGGGATCACCAAGGTCAGGTAATAGTTATATGAAGAAAGCAAGGTACAGAATACTTAAAGACATTTGACCGCTAACCAGAAGGCTGGTAGTTCAAACCCACCAGCCACGCCATGGAAGGAAGACTGGGCAATCTACTTCAGTAAAGATTTTCTGCCTTGGAAACCCAAAGGGCATCCTATGAGTTAGAATCGACTCGATGGCAGTGAATTTTTTTTTTTTTTTTTAATATACAATCCTATTAAGAAACACACAACCATATGACCCAGTAATTCCACTCCTAGGCATTCACCCCAAAAGAATAAAAAGCAGGGACACAAACAGAAACCTGTACAGTGATGTTAATTGCAGCACTAGTCACAAGAGCCAAAATGTAGAAACAACTCAAGTGTCAATCAGCAGATGAATGGATAAACAAATTGTGGAACATACATACAATGGAATATTATTCATCCATAAAGAAATATACAGTTGTGATACATGCCACCACATGAATGAGCCTTGAAAACTGAGAAATAAGTCAAACACAAAAGGACAAACATTCTATGTTTACAAAGCTAACAAAGAATGAGGGTGAAGTGTGCACAGCTTGACGAAAGTAAACAATGTCAAAAAATGTACACAAGAAAAAAGGACCTGTTGGTAATTGCTATGGCATATATAATTATGAAACAGTAAAAACAACTAAATATATGTATTTTCAGATAAACATGTATGTAGGCACATTTGTGTGTAAGTACGTATATATGAGTATATATGTGTGTTTATATGAGTGTATGCATATGTATAGGAGCTCTGGTAGCATAGTGCCAAAGTCATTTGACTGCTAACCAGAAGGCTGGCAGTTCAAACCCACCAGCCACTCCTCAGAAGGCAGGTTGGGCAATCCTACTTCTGTAGTGATACTGCCTCGAAAACCCAAGGAGGGGTCGCTATGAGTTGGGGCCGACTTGATGGCACATAACAACAACAACATGCATATGTATATGCATCTATGTGACTGTGTGCACATATGTTCATCTATAAAATAAATCACATAGGGGGCACAGTTACGGATACTACTTAGACATAAACAAATACCTCGTGGGACTGGTTTTTGGGTTTGAAGGATTGGGATCATAGTCTTTTTTTTTTAATTGTGATTTGAATGAAAGTTTACAGAGCAAATTCACTTTCCATACTGCAGTCCACATAAACTTTGTCTCATGAAATTGACTACAATTTACCACAGTGCAACAGCTCCCCTCTCACTTCCTCCCCATAGTTACCTCTTCTCTCGGTCCTTCCCTCCATGCACTCCTGTCCCCTGAGCTGTCTCCCTGTGAATACACAGCCCTTCTATTCTCCCATGATTGTTCTCTCCAAGGAGTGTATCTACCTAGTGTAAATGTTCACCTCATATGCCTGTCTTGTGTTTGGCTGAAAGTCATAGAAGTTAATTCAATTCCAGACCTTAAGGTCAGGTAGGGGCCGTAGTCTCAGTGGTTCCA